CTTAACCACAAAGAACTGTGCTGAAGAGTTTAATTCTTCCAAAACAACTGATAATATCCTAAATGTTGAAAGCGGAGTACTTTTCAGTATAAGCCAAATCCTGCATGTTTTGCTTTTAAGTAAACGCCAGAGCAGATGCAAAACCAGTAGGATTCACACTGATGTTTTCTAGGAAAGGAGAAAATCTCCAAAAAACACAACCCATGCTTTAGAAGTGGCACACAATTTAAGCAACAGTTTAATACTTGTACTGAATTAAACTGCTTGTATAACATTATGTGTATATGTTTCATTTATTGATTTAGGATTTAAGACTCCTGTACTTTGTCATCCATGTATTTTAACATGTATTATGAACTGCTTTTTCATTATTTTATTGATTACATTTCACTGATTCTTCCCCAAAATTTCTGAACTGCCCCTCTTCACAGAATTTCAATGAAAATAAAATGTACAAGGCAAGCTAATCAGAGCTCTTGGGACATCAGATAGGTTGAATCACTCATGTGGACTAAAGCAGATATAGCTGTTTTAAGTTGAATAGCTATTGTAGTTTGAAGGAAATAATCTTACAAATACTATTTGGGTTATTCCATCAGACATGGCAGAATTTTTTTGTTGGATGAGGCATAAAAACTACAAAATGTTTGGCAAAAAACACACCAAGGTTATATAGCCAATAGAAGAGGTAAAAAAACCCACATCAACAAAAAGACCTACTTACTTTTCATATGGTGGAAGCATATGAAGGTTCTCAGCACCACACTTACAAAACTATGCTTCTTAAAAGTTCCTAAAGCAAATATAACTTGACAGCAAATAAGCCGTTGCCAAGACAGAATCCACTGCTGCTTAAACTGACACTCAATCACTGAGAGACTTGACTAGATACACAAAGGGAAGTTTGTCTTCATTGTATTTGATGTCTCAGGTGACCTCCTGGAAGTTATGTCAGAGTACTGAAACACCTGGATGACTACTCTCCAGCTACAACAGAAGCGTTTCAAAAACATGCTTCCAGCTTTTGAGGTTGAAATGCTCAACATTATTAATGGCAATTGTCTGCTGCAGACCTTGGGGATAGTGAAGGTTGGACTTAGTATGAATACTCTTCCCCCTCTAGTGGTATCAGCTCAGCCATACTTAGCATCTCAAAAAATTGACAATGCCTTAAAAGGAGTTGGCCCAGTAACTGGGTGTCCACAAGTCCTAATACATAAGTAGTAACTTCAAGTAACTTCAGCCTTCAAAGCACTCCTGAACTTTCAACAAAACACAGTACAAAATGGCAACGTGATGTACGTTCATCTAGGCTCCAGTGAAGCTATTACCCTCCACCAGCCATTTCGCTTCCATCAACTTGCTCAAACATTTGCCAGTAATGAAACAGAACAGATGGAAACTGGAGTATAAAGAACTAAAGCATCTACTTCTTACAAGCCCTGAAAAAAACCAACACTCGTCTTTACACTTGGCTGCTAGGCACACGCTCTGTGGCTGCTAGATACCTGCAGCACTTGGTCACAGGTAAGGCAATGCTGAGTTGGCTCTTCAGGAGGATCAGATTTATATCCATTAACTGTACTTCTGTCTGCGACTCCTCACTCAATTTAGACTTCACCTCTTTAAAACTGATTGATTCTTATTAGCCCACCTGGAACAGTTTTAGGGACTGTGTCCTGAAACATCTTTAAAGGAATATTAACATATTATAATCTATTTTACCCAATCTTTTGGTATTTTTATGTGCTTGCAACTCTGCAGTCCAAAGCTAGAGAGCCACCACCACTGGGCAGAAAGACCACATACCATACAACATTTTGCATTACTTTTCACACAAGGATTATTTTTGTTATTTCTTATTTTTTTGTTCTGAGACAACCAATGATAAGAACAACAGTCTGGCTTCTTACCTGCTTTTTTTTTTCCCCTCCTAAATAACTGCTGTTCTTTCACTAGTATTTTTTCCACCTGGATAAGGAAGATACTTCTCCCTCACCAAAACAAAACAAAAAAAACAAACAAAAAAAAACCCCAGACAAACCCAAAACACTTTCCTTTTTCAATTTTCAATTAAAGCATGCTATAAGAAGACACGGCGACACTAGAATTTGACATTCATGCTCACTTAAACTAAATTAATTAAACAAAATATATTTAAGATAAACATTTTAAGTTATTATTGCCAAACATAACAGTAAAATAAAACTAGTCTATATTGAAAAAATCCTTACTGCTCAAACTCCAGGAACTTTTATAAAGCAGAAATAAAAACGTCATGAGTTGTTACAGTTTATAAAGTGGAAGAACTGTAGAGATTGAAAGACCACCGAAATAATCTTAAAGGACATTCAGAATTCTGCCAACACTGTTTTTTTGCTGCAGAAATCCTAGGTTCATGCTCTTCAAGGTGGATTTCAAGAGCTAGTGAGCAAATAGCACTAACTCAGTTGGATAGTGAACAGTTTGCTGTGTCAAAGCTTTTGGCCAAACATATATATAATTTTTCTATTTGCTATACAGATAATCAACCCCAGATGGCAATTTACATAGGCAATAGCATAAAGGAATCCATGCACTGCTGGTGCTCTCAGCCTCAATCAGAGCAAGCACGGGCGTTTGAGAATGTCACTGTTTATTTTTAATTGCTGTGTCCCTCCTTTGTGCAGGTTCAAGCGGTCAAAGATGTCTAAGTCCATTAGTAGAACTGGAAGGTGATGCCACTTCATTTGGTGAGAGGAGTCTTCAAATTTAAAAAGCAGCTGGTTTGTAATGTCCCTAAATGCCCAGTGGGCACCAGCTGTCAATCTCAGTTACCATAGGGTCAGGGCAAAAAAAGGTCAGAAAGAGTCATAAACCACAATGTGTTGTGAAATGTGCTTCCTCCATTACCTTGCAGGCCTGAGAAAGGTTTGACCTTTTATAGGTATCCAAACCCAACTCCACGTAATGCAAGCAGAAGTAAGCACAACACACAATTCAAACTTCAAAAAGTTGCTTTCTTTTACTGCATCTTGGTTTCCATACCTGTACAATACGAATACTCACAAGCTGCTAGTAGCAAAAACCAGAGTGCAACACTCTGCCCACCACTATTACCACTCATAGGTATGGGCACATCTTCAATTTCACACAAGGTAGTGGCAGGATTAATTCATCAACAACTATTGAAAGCAACAAAACCTTTGAGGTAAGTTCTTCATGCCACAAAAGCCAAGTAATCTGGTTTTCTTTGCCAAAGACCTGTTTATCTGCTGACTAACCTTTTATTTCACTGCTCCCCCAGTCACTTGGTAGGAAATCATCTTTTCAAGTCCCACTAAAAGCCTTTCCTACTGTCCTTTTAAACACTCCTTTACAATATGCAAGTTATTTGCTAAATTTTTGTCATTTTCCCCCTTCATACAGATTCTCAAAGAGCAGACTAATTCCTAAGCATGTTTCTCCAAAACATTCTTGGACTATACATGAAGAGCTGACCAGTCATTTCCAGATATAATCTAGTTATGCATTCTTTCTTTGCAAGAAATAATTACTCTGCTCTCTCACCCCCATCTCCCAGAGCTCAAAGCAACAGGAAGTTTAGCCAATATTATGCCAAAAGGAAAGTAGCCAACTAGCTATGCCAGGCCACTGTAGGGCAGGAGCCACCACTCAGCACTCATCAGCCTTGTAATTATTTGTCCCTCCTTAGGCCCCTTGGTGCAAGCAGGCCCAGGGCAGCAAGCAGGACACAATAGAAAAGGCAAGGAATGCTGGCAAAGGCAATGCAGGAGAATTTGAAACAAGAGCTACAATCTCAGAAAAGCATATTTCCTGCAGGAATTCCAAGCATGGCTCCCAAAACAGGCTGCATGCTGCAAATGGGGATACAGGCAGCAAGGAACTCCACTGGGAAAGCAGATGTGATGGCACATGCCTCATGCCAGCATACCACTTCTATGCAAAGGACAATATGATAAACTAGATGACAACAGGTATCACAGAAAGAGGCTGGCCAAAAATTATTAGCAATCAGCAAAATGTTTCATGTGAAATCAGAATGCTTCACTTACTCCTTCACTTGCCCACAAAGTACAGGCAAAAATGAGAAACCAACATGTTCACTCAGTGAAAGAATAAGGCCCTTATAGCTACACAACTTAATACTGACAGCAGCAAAAGGGTCCCATCCAGGCTTGCTCAGCCAAAAGCTGCCTACTCTCAGAATGTAACTGCTTGGGTCCACTTCAAGTGGATGCAAAACAACACACGTGTCTTTACTCCTCTTGGGCAACTGATAAAAAAGGGAAAGTCAGAACAGTCCAAATCAAATCATCATCTGTGAAACAGTCATCACCTGTTCCAAGCATAAAGTCACCTTTTAAAGTATGAATGTATTTTAAGGAAATAAAATTGTAACAACATTTAAGTAGTTCAAAGGCCACTGAAAGGCCCCTTGACTTTATACAGGCTCTCCAAAAAAGCCCAATGGCAGCAAGCCACCTACTGCATCCCAGCAGTTCTCACAGAACATGCTGACATCAATTAAAGCCCTAGCAAACAAAGAGAATGTGCATCAAGCATTTCAGTGCCCTCTTCTTGTCATTTCCTTCACTTCCAGACATCTCAGGAAGCCTACCTGCTCAGATTTTTTTGCAAACCTTCTCCCTGCAGCATGTCTCAAATCAAAGAAACCTCACTCAAACCTCATTCAGTCCTTGGGCATATCCTATCAGGGAATCATGACTATCTTGCATTTCTGAATTTTTAAGTCAAACACGCTCACTTAGGTCAGTGTTCTCTCCTCTTCATTCAATTAAGATTAAGTAGGTAACTTTACTGGTTGCCTTATTCAAAAATCTCTACATCTCTTCCTATTATGAGTACAAAAAAAAAAAATCAACAAGGCAGATGTTGAAAATAATTTAATTATTTCAGATGGGATGAGAACACACTCTTCTTTGTTGAGTGTCTCTTTCTATCATGAAAACTAGGGGGAGTGAAAATGAGAGACTCACCTTCAGGGCAGGAATCTCCACACTGTCACCAAGGCTAACAGAGCCAGAAAGAATAGTCCCTGTCATCACTGTGCCTTGACCCTTGATAGAGAAACAGTGGTCGACTGCCATAAGGAAGTGTCCCGAGGGGTCTCTTGATGGCAGGTAAGCCTGAGACTTCAGGACCTGAAAAAAAAAAGAAAAAAGATGAAAGCAGCACCATGCCTAGGTGAAAAGTCATGACAGCCATACAGCAAAAGGAAGGCAAGTGGATGATTGATTGAACAAGCTTGCAGTTTTACTGATTCCAGGCATCTCCCAATAAGCTTAGAACACACCAATGTCAAATTAACTGCGTGCACCATAGAGGAGACACACTCAGCAGCAGGAACAGTTTGATTTTCTGCCTTAGAAAGATTTGGTGCTGCACATTTAGCTTGGTTAGCAAAACTAGACTGGCAATAAAGTTGCTGCCAAACTCAATATAAACACTGCAGTGAAGCAAAGAAAAAAAAAATCCTGTACATTCTCTCTCCCTTTTTTCCTCCCTTCTCTCAAAAGCACAATTTTACAGCGCATTTTGCTACTTCAGCTTTTTTGGATTTTGTGAAAATGAACTTATATGCATATTACTGCCCCATAAAGCCCACTGCTGCCACCCTTCCTGTAAAACTACTATACTGGGTTAAGTTTTCAAAGTCAACTTTTCCGTCAGATTTCTCTTAACACTTCTTGGAATATCAAACCACTAATAAAAATAGCTACATAAGTACCATTTTCAAGAGAAATTCTCCAGGTTTAGATTTTCTGTTTCACTGACAAATACTATGTTTTTTAAATGTATTATCATACACAGTAGACCTTAATTATAGAAATGCCATCGTGTACCCAACAGTGCTTCAGAGGAACTGGTTCACCCCTGCCTCAAATCACTTTTGACCTCTGCCTCTGTTATAACATCAGCATATGAACTTGGCACTGTCTTTAATATCTGCTTTTAAGGTCAGAAACTGCAGGTTAAGCCCAAGTTGCAATGGCAGAACAATGGAAAGTCTCTTATCAAGGACAGAAAGGATAATACCTTGAAGCTCAATGGAAGGGCTCACACAGCATTTGACAGCTCTTCCTATACTAGGTCTCAAGTTGACAGGAACAGCTTCAAAAGGTTTTAACCCCAGGGAACACCCCAGTAAATCTCCCAGGAACCTGATGAAGGCATAAGTAAGGATCTGCCCATCTCCATCTCTTTAGACACTGCTGTGGGCACTTGGTTCTTGCTAAGTCTATTTAACGCCATACCCATCTCAGGGCACACTTGCCTGGGAGGCAGAACAACCTCTAGTGGTCTGCAGCTATGTGGAACATTCTGCCTTTGCACAAGCCAGGCTGCCCTAGGTCAGGCATCCCTATATTTTTATGACTGAAACTGCACCCTAACTTGAGCCATTTTATTTTAAACCTGGCAACATCCAAATCAGACCTTGACAAACCTGCAAAGTATGATGCCTTTGTTTTAGGACTACTTTCTGCTGCCTGCAAGTAACACTGGAACCTCTCCAGAGCAAAGATGCTACTTCTCCCCAAATCTTATTCACAGAAAGGGTGACAAGTCTACTAGAAACTCCTCTCAAACAGCTATTTTAAGTGTCCTGCCTTTCACAGTGTAAGCTTCATGCCATGTAACTTATAATTTAGTTTTCTGAAAATCTGAGAATTTATTCTCTCTCCCTCTACTCCCCACTCCACCATCCAAAAGCAAAAACCACCACCACTAAAACACCAACTGAAACTGGCAGAACTAAGGATACCTGTGAAGCACCAATTTGAAGTCTTGTCTTGTTCATATGGGTCTGATATAATGTTAGTTATACAATCATATAGTTTTTTCCTGGCCCTCCTCGTTCAGGGCACAGGGTAAATCCAGGCCATGCTTTTTATCTTTTGCAGATGTGCAAGGCATGCAGTAAGCAAGGCAGAGTATCACAGAGAAAGATCGTTTCATCATGAAGGCAGGTAGTGCTCCTCTAGAGAATGGATTCTGTTTGCCAGAACTCCACATATTGTCATTCTCTTAAAAATGAAGCTTTCCACAGGTAATCACTGACTACACGCTTCAGACTGTCCAAACAGAAACCCCAAAGCCTAACAGACGTGCTAAGCACTCACAATTGCAATCAAAATTAGCAGGTATTATGATCTGAACACAAGCATTTCCCAAAATAGTTAGTTTCCTTAACTTTTGCAACCAAAATTAGTAAGCTCAGTGGACTTAAATTCTTCATGCCTCAGCTTCCCAATCTAAATATGGATTAAAGTCACCTCTACACTTCCTATAGGTCTTTTGCAAGTAAATTAGCTGTTTGCCAAGTGCTCAAGACCACAGTGATGTGTGCCAAAGAGAAGTCCAGGAGGAAATTAATCATTCTGAATGCAGAAGTATCTGAATGGAGTCATGAGCCCACACAGAATAATGAGAATTAAAACAAAATACAGACTATCTGCTCAGTAGTTGAGCCCAGTCCACCCCGTGCAAGGAATAAGGTAAGAGTTATTTAGAATACAGAATCGGCCACTTAAACACTGGATCACAATATCCACACAAAGGAAGGAGACAACTCCCAGCATCTAACTTTTGAGTGCCTGACTTGACAACTGTACTTACTTAACTGCAGTACAATTATACAACACTACCGAGGATTTGTGAGAATTTTAAGCTATTTTTGTTCATTATGCTTCATAATTCTTTACAACTTTAAAAATATATTTCACCACATATGCGATAACTATCCCTTAAGACATTTATTTAAAGGTATTGAAGCCTAGTAGTTGAAAAAAGATCTGCTTTTGGGGCACACAACCTCAACTTCTCCATTCACTGGAAGGAATCCCAAAAAAAAAAATTCAGGTTCCTTAAATCTAACATTAGTGCAAGAGCTCCTCTGCTCCAGATACTAAAACAGCATACTCCAAAAGACTTAAAAGTTCAGGGACATTTTATGTTATTTTTATGTTCTTCAGCAGGTACCTCAATTAATTCAGAAACACCTAGCGGATTCTCAGACTCTGGGGCTTCTGGTCCACCGGGCTTTGCTGCAACAGCAACAATAGGACACCCACAGAACCTGAAAGAGAGAAAGACTCCCACCATTAGATCACAGATTTCCTACACGTGTCAATGTAACGTAGTTCCATGTTCATCTGACAAGTCAGCAAGGAAATTTCCCCAAATTCCAATTTATCTGCTCTTCCCCTATAGAGAACACTTGACAGATTTTTTTCTTGAATTACTATCACCTACACTACTGGACTTCACTATGAAATCTTCAATCCTGTTTAGTATTAGCTACTGATTCAACGCTGTGGCAGTCAAAACTTCATTTTATTTTAGGAGCAAAGGTCTGCTACTCAGTCTTACTGCAGTGGCTCTGCATTCAAGTCATTTTACTTGAAAACTAGCACTGTTTTCAACTTTCACTGAAACAAGTATAATCCTAGCTGCAGAGTCATGACCTTCAAAATGGGAGCCAAATGCAAGAATGGCACATGATGTCTACCTGAACTTGCAGGCAGACTGCAAGACGGGCAGACAAAGATCCACATCTACTGAAACCAAAATTCATGGAACACAAATACCAAACATGCAAAGGTTCAGAGAAGAGTAGTAGTTCCACAGCTGACCAAAGTTTAGCTTCTTTCTTACAAAGAAATTAATTCTGCAAGCCCTCAATATTCAGCTGCCTTTTCTACAAAGCAGCCAGCAGACCTAACTTTTGCTCCCTAAAATGCAACCTAGTGCTTGAATCATCTGACAACTTGTTTTGCCTACAGTCTGGAAAGTTAAACTGTATTACTGTATTTTTTCAAAGTCACAATTAACCATGTAAGAAAACATATTGAAGAAATACAATAATAATCAGCAATAACAAGAAAGTGATTGCTTCTTACAGATATTTGATTCTTACACAACAGATTGAGATAAATAATAATTATTGTGGTCATCCTTTTGACGCCTACCTCTCCATAGGCTTTCTCAAAAATCACAACACAACAGTGCCTTGACAAAGAAAAACATGACGAAGTTCTATAGAGGGAGCTCATTTAATGACCAAATGGTAATCAAGCATATAAGATATTTTCTTTGTTTATATGCCCTAAGTCTGAGGGATCTAGAGACAAAGGCTAATAAAAATGTGCACTGAAAATCCTTTTGATTACCTATAACACTTTTGGAAATTTATTTTTATACAAATACTTTAGGGGACTGTATTGCAGTAAACAAATACACGCTGAACCAGGTGCTTTACACATTTTCCCATGTATCAGAACAAATTAGAGTAATCATACATTGCCTTTGGAGGCACTTCCAAACATGATTCAGCCCTACTCAAACATACTCCATCACATCGTTTTAATGTCAGCAGAGTTTAGACCCTGCTGGGCAAAGATAAAAGCTGGCATATGCAAAAAGTTATGAAAAAACTAAATTCCATTCACTGGGATGTTTTGCTTTTACTTTTGGTACTAATCCATAGAACAGCAAGTTTTAATTAGGTTGACTCTTGTAAATTTAACCTATTAAAATATACAACACTTATTTTCCTCTGCCTCTTTTTTCTACCTTCCATGGAATCTCACAGTGACACTACAATAATTTCCCCAGCATCAATGACAACACCTATTCTATAGCTCAAACAGACTTCAGATTTGCTTACTGCTATAAAATTCTGCATGCATGCCTCTGTGTGTAGACAAATAATCATCAAGCGAACTATTCCTAGAAAAAAAACAACCCCCATTGCCAAGCATCTTGGGCCAAAGGCAGCTGTCAAATAGTCTCAGCACATGCCCTGCTAAGAGTAGTTTAGGAATACAAAAGCAGTTAAATATGCATTTGGAATTTCCAAGTCAAGAGGCTGTCAAGAAACAACACGTACCCAAGATGCAAAAGGACAAGCACCTCACAATCAAGTCCAGGTTAGCAGTGCTTTCAAAGCACCATAAGGCACAGACTGCACATGCAAAACATGCATTTTTTTTACAAGAATAATGAACAGACACACTCAGTAACAGAGCATTTCAAATGGGTAATTAAAATGTTATGACAAGACCATTTCTCTCCAGGTGGAATCACAGCTACTATGATCTGCTGATACACATCCTTGTTTTACAAGGGGGCTCGAGGTAAGGACCTCAGTTACCACATCAGCTGTGTCAAAAACTCACTTCCCCTTCAGCTTTGACAAAGTCTGCTAATTTTCAAGATGGGCTGTAAAGACCCTTGTGTACTCCAGAATACAAAGAAAATACATAATTCAAACAGTGTACATAAAAGGTATTTATGAACACCAGTTTCCTTACAAAAATATACTTTCCTTTTATGAATATGCAACTAGAAAGGTCTTTTTTTTCTGAATCATTCACAGTACGAGCTTGAAATAAATCAAGAATGAAGTGTCACTTGCAGCAGTAGCCATTCAAGAAGAATCAACAAATTTGAAAAGGACAAAATAAAACTGAGAAGTATATTATGATAAACTTTCGTAAAAAGTTAACTTCTTGGCATACATAACAGATGAAAAGTTACTATTAATTTTAATGCAGTTTAATTTACATTGTACATAACAACCTTTCGAACAATCAAAATCATAAGCAATAAGAATAATTAAATAATTATCTCTAAAGTTTTCCTAACTTTATTATCTCAGTGCTATCTCCATTGGCATTACCTATGAAGTTGATCAATAAATTCACATCTACAAAAAAAAAAAAAAATAATTGTTGATCCAAAATGCTTTGATCTATTGCAAGTGTCCCCTCAATATCCCGTAAAATGAGGGGCAGCAAGCAAAACACACTATTTTGCCATTAAATCAATTGCTGTGAGAACTCAAAGTTGTAGGATTCTAAGTTCACAAGCAAGAATTTCACTTTCTTGCTGACCCCTGTACCATTCCCAGCACAATGAATGGACCCAAAAACAATACAGGAGCTGCAAAGACTCCAAGAATCTTCACTCTGGAGTGAAAAAGACTTGTAGATCACAGCAGAAGTTGCAAGCCCATGAATAAAATAAAACCCCAGGTCTGTTAAACACATTGTTACAAGTTAGCTGTAAATATTACTGTTCACTTACTTGGTGTTTTCCAAGGTCTTCTGCATTTTCTTAGTCATCTTCTCAATGGCACTTTGTCTCTTGCCCTCTGGAAGGAGATCTATTTTGTTCAGGACTACCACCATCTTCTGGCAGGCAATCTGCCCAATTACCAAGCACTCTGCTGACTGCGTCTGCATCCCTTTTGTCACATCTATTACAAGCATCATCAGATCAATAATCTGGGCACCTAGAGGAAAATTCACAGTCAGTATTGCAGCAGCATAAGATTAAAGGGTTATTTTCTCAAGTAGCTTCCACAAAAACTGTCAGTATATGTACAAATTCCCAGAAATATGGGTTAAAACAAAGTCCAAGTATGCGTCGTATATGCAGCTACGTTTAAAAAGATCATCTCAGGAACTTAAGCTATTATATGCCACCACCAGATTAAGAAAAAAAAAGCATGTGATAGTTTATATATTCCTCCATATTAACAGTTCAAGTTTAAGGGTGTTATCACAACATTTAAAAAACATTAAAGAAAATTACCCTTGCAGCAATACAAGCATTACATTTACCTCAAAAAGATACTCTAAGCAGCTGAGCAAGAACACAACACAGCCAAAGAAACACATGACAACATTGCAGATAGTTGTACACTCAGAACAACCCCAAGAAGAGGCAATTACATTCCACAGAACTACATCTGCAATCCTCAGTCCCCACCTGCTTCCCACCCTTTCTTCTTTGAGTCAAAAATTTCATAAAAGGGAAAACCACCAGAGGCAGGTTTACCCCATGCCTGAAGAAATTCCTACAATCCCTCAATGTGAGGAAGAGGCGTTTTAAACCCTGCAACATATGTAGAACTGAATTGGGAGCGAATGACAATAACTTGAGTATGTACTTCATACACAGCCACAAACATTCAACTCTTAAATCTCTTGAAGAAAAAATTCCTAAATTTTAGGCTGAAGTTACCTATTATGCTTAAAGATAATTTTTATTTCATTTTTTAAAGTATTGTTGTCACAAACCCTTACTCCTTTGATTGAAGCAACCAAATTTCAAGGATTTAAATTAACTTTCAAGGAAGCTTTTGATGAATGTTTGGCCTTCCACTAATTACTTTCATAATTTTCCTATTTCATCCCAAGGAAGTGAAATACTCTGAATACCAAATAAGTGCAACAAACTTTAATGTTGAGAAAGTTTAAATATAAAAATCATAAAGCTGAGCTACCAGAAAGCCTTATGTCAAAAAACACACTTTAAAAGACACCAGAAGGTAGAAATCATGCAAAACTGCAGCCTTCTGATTTTAAGTATTTGTAATATTTGCCTTAAGCTTTTGATCAGAAGAACAAGAAATCAATACAACTGTTCCTTGTTCCTTTGCCCTCTCCAACCTTCTCCCCCCCACCCCTTTTAATTTTTAAGCTTTCACAATGGGTATGACAACAGCTACCCTTGTTCGTAATTCCCATGAACTCAGGACAGGAAACCATTCTGAGGTTGAAGTGCATGGGTGAATGAGTGGGTGGGAGCTACAGCAAGGAAAAAAAACAACTTATGGTTACAAATGACTATTTTCAACCTACCAAAGCTTTCATCTTGTAATAATGAATGCTAAACCCTTCACAGCATTAGTTGGATAATCATGACATTTCCAAAGCTCCTGCAGAACTTTCACCAATCATTTCAAATATCTTTCCATGACCAATTGAAGATAGACTATATCTTCAAAAGCATTTTTCATTTTGTTTCAAGAACTGGATGCATTTATTACTTGCTGAAATTATAACACAAGCAACATCTATGCTTTACAAAAGGCTCAGACTTTCCATGCCAAGCGCAGGCCTAAAGGACAGAAAGCAATGAAGGGCATCAAAATAGTTCAATATTTTGTACTAAACTACATCACATGGCAACTGTTACTACACATGTGACACCCTTAAAGTGCATTGGAATTAATAAGTAAACCAAAATCATCAAATTAAGTAGATTATTAATACTATTAAAATTATAATGCTATTAAAATTATTTAGTAAAACAACAATGCGTTGTTTTATTAAATTAAAGCTAAAATTAAGTTTTAGCTAACTCTGTTATGGCTACTAGAGCACAGCAACCCTTATGCTCCAGAATTAAGCCTAAGTAACTAGATAGAAACCTGGGTTTGAAAAGGGTAGCTGATAAAATGCGTATATACAGCATGGCATCTGCTCCCTCCAACAGGAGACAAAATCAGCACTCAAACAGTTACATGCAGTTTTAGTACAAGGGCCACTATCTTGAAACACTAAATCAGCTACTTTGAATACATTTGTTCTAAAGGAAATACTTGTAATTGCTGTATTTATGAATCTATTAGCAACACTTTAAGAAAGCCATAAAAAATCATCAACCAAGTTGCTATAAGGTCAAGAACATCAACCTCAGGGCATTTCATAGCAAAGAAGATAACAAAGGAAAAGTAACGCTAAAGTCCATGGAAAAACTCCACAAACACCAGAAAATACATCATGACACCCCAGACAAAAACATATTACAAGTCAAGGAAACAGAAACATACCCAAGTTCACAAATACATGCCTCAGTACAACTGTTGTGCTTGCTCCAAAGCCTTAACATGCTAACTGGCCACAGTTTGTAAGGAATGTTGAAAGGAACAGAAAGCATGGCAGGGGGAGAGCTGGCACCCAAGCAGGGTGGGAAGCTGCTGCCCTTCAACAGTGTCATGGAACCAAGGGAAAGATCAAGACAGCATTGACAAAAATACTTGAACGACAGTCTCCTGCAGGCATGAGGATGTTTTGTATGCACCTGCTCTCACATATCAAGCCATGCATGCTCAAGTTCATAGGACCTCTGGGTAACAAGGCAAAAAAAATGTTGATATTTAGTTCTTCAATTTTCCTCTTTGAGCTGTTTAATGACACCTTTGACAACTCACCTTCTTCCCAATCCCTCAGACAGACTTACATTTCTTTTATTCTAGGACCCATGTCCTTAGTTGTCCCTTCATCCATGCATAATAGTTTGTTAAATACTAAAAATGACAATCTAGGGAAGTCAGAAACTATGTGCACAAAGATTCACAAATGTAACATCAGGAAAGTCGACAGGTCACTTGAAACAAGGTGACAAATCTGCAACACAGACATGTTCCCACCGAACAGGGAACATCTCATTCACCACACTTTTTCCATATAAGTCTCCTGTAACATTTACATGCAATATGTTTAACTTCATATTCACTATTTAAATAATGTCTATCACACAAGTAATCAAATCAACTCACTGCCATGTTGAATTTCAGTCAAAAAAAGGAACAACATTTCTAATAATTTTGTACAGCAGAGCAAAACTTAATGCAGAAAAGCGAAATGACGATGGATCATACGAGTACTCTCATGTATGGAAACTCACTTAGGAAGACCTCTGAATTGAGGTATAAAAATATTACAGCCACTGTCAGATGCTGGAAGCACAAAAGAAGCATAAGTCATAAAGCTGGACATTGCACACAGGAAACTGGTGCCAGGGCAGCCACAGGGGCTGAGAGAAGATTCAGGGGTCTGTGTCCTTGTGGCCCTTATAAGGGACATGGAATGCAGTGGAGGCTGTTTGTCCCATTTCCTCACCTATCTCATGGCAGCTGTCTACTCCCTGCAGATGCAGAGAAGAAACTTTTGTGCTGATTACATGGAACAATTGCCCACAGCCCCACCCCCACACTTTGTACATCAGTAACAAAAAAAAAACAAGGTATAAATATCATCCCTTTCTGGACCCAGTTTGTCATAGGGACGGACTGACAGGTTTGTTCTCCTCAGCCCTCCCCAGATGTTCTCCTCAGCTCTCCTCATCTTTTGGTAAGATTCTCAGCCTCTGCTCTGCCAAGTGATTTTTCGCCAGGAGATAATCATTATTGTAATCACAATTGCTTTTTAGAGCTCTGTAGCTAGTCTGCAGCGTAGTGTATTTATCAGTGGCAATCCCAAAGAATCTGATTGGTTGGGTGTCCCTAACCTCTACTGTTCGTGACTCCAATGGCTGCTGCTGTATGCAGCCAGACCTACAGCAACAGGCTGCTCGTGCAGCTGGGGTCAAACCCACAGCCATGGCTCTCATTGGTACCTATTAAGAGATAAGTTCAAACACCCCTAGCCCCTCTAATATCTGAGGACCAGCTAGAAAACAAGGGGATTTGTCTCTTCCTTACCCACACCTACTTCTTTTCCCTTCACTCAACAGCCACACTGAGCAGAGACTCCAAAAACAATAACAAGAACAAAACTAGGTGACAATATCACTCAATAAATCTATACTATCTGACCACAGAGTGCCTATCATGGGCTCTTGAGCAAAACAGAACAAAATAAAGAACTGAAACACTGAGCTTTTACATAATGAAGTAGATGGGATATAGTCCTTCACAGTTAAGAAGGGTGAATGGGACAGATCAGTCCCCTCAGGCCCCCAAAGCAAAGAAACGGCTTGAAATTATTCTGAACCAAGCAAAGACATGCAAAGGACAGGTCTGCATATAAAGAGATGCACAGCAATCAAGAAAAACATTTTATATGCATTAAAGCAGGTCATACAGAATCAGTGATAAAGTTAAGCCAACTTATTCAAACATTTCACAAAAAAAAAAGAAAACAAACCACAAATGAACAGGGGTGTAACGTTTTATTTGCCATTTCATCTATGACAGTGTAGTTCAAAAGCATTCAGACAGAGTCCTCCTGACATGCGATTTCTCACTTTGCTTGAAAATGAAATATCAACTATTGGAGTACTCTTTGTGTGATGACATACAGCTCAGATATAGCCCTGTAAAAAGCAACCGAAACAAACTAGTTGTCATCAGAAAACACAAGGGGTTGGGGAAAGACAGGAATTAAATTGCAAGATAAGCAGCTAAACCACAGCAGAAACACCAAGTAAAGTAGGTAGTTTGAGTGAAGAAAAACAGACAAGAAAGATAATATGTGAACAGTGAGAATCTGGATGACAGCCAGCAACAGGAAAAACGCCACGAGACCAGCAGCACAGCATCACAGGTAAAAGGCTGCAAGAAGATCCAGCTAAAAGGGGACACAGCAGCACTTACTTGTACCACAGAACTGACAAGGAATAGAACTTAGAGATATTAAGTAAAATACCTTCACAGAGCAAAGAAACAAAAAGGTTGTCCCATGCTTTAAACAATTACATCCAACTCACTCTTGCTTCTGA